AAACAAAATTGTCATCATAAGGTGATAGAACAAGGAACAAAGGCAGTCAATAAAATTTTTGATAGAGCGATCAAATAAGTGAGTCCTTCAAATAAGATCGAGATGTCCTACCAGTTACGCGCAAACACTTAAATGAAATTCCTCAAATGTGCTTAGACATGAGACATAAGCACCATGAGCGACTTCCTTGTGCATGTCAGAGCTTCCGATCTCTCAACTTGGAAGTAAGTAAGTAAGTAAGTTTGTGTTCAGCATTAATGATCGGTCGATTGGTAATGACCTGCAGCCACAGCTCCGTACCCTCTAAATGCGTGTTTCTGTGTGTGTTTGTGAGCGCATAGGTGCTTGCGCAATGAGACAATAGAAATTTCTCTTAACTGATTCTGTTCTTGTCATAATTGCTTTCTTGTGCGACATGACATGAGGTTTTGCCTCAATCAAGTCAAAATCACCTCCAACTCCTTGATTATGGAACAAATAGTTGTACGTACCATCTTCATAAGAAAGTGGGTCAAGAAAACAGCAATGAGAACAAATTACTTCAAGAAGTCACTTATTACTTACTAATCAGATTTTGTATTGACTGGACTATGAGCTCGGGTGTCTTCTACCACGGGCCTCGTTCCTAGTCTTGGCTGTTGAGGACTTGATGATCCACCAGTGGGAGAAGGGATTGATGCCGAAGGCTGTGAAAGCCGTTGCCCGCTTGGTCGCCCAAGAAAGCTTGGCCTGGCGGCCACGCGTCGGGTTGAGACACGTCTGAAACTGGATTTTCCATGGCTGATCTCAGTTCCACTGTCAGAACGACCAAGGGCTTTATCGCTGGTGTCAGAGCGCAGTGATTGGCCCGTAGAGGTGTTTCGACGACGGAATGAGCTACTGCCATAGCTGTTCTCCTGCGCTAGTTGGTGTTCAGTACGGAAACTGGCATAGAAACGAGACTTGAGGCGAAAGAATTGCTGCAATTTGGTCGGAGGTTTGGGAATACCACGGAGACGGAAGAAGGCATGATGCTCCACTGCGCACTTCCATAGATGCTTGCATGCTCGTGTGTCGGGCAGGACAAACACAAATGTGTGCTCCATGACTTTGCGCTGGCGGTGGCAATAAAGGAAGCGGAGTTAGCAGTCAACTCCAGTAGTGGGACCGATTAAAAGACAAAAGGGTGCGTGCCTTAGAAGTGGGTGTGTTCGGGACCGTAATAAAGTGATTTAACAATGACTAAATGATATATTTACTTTCTTAAAGT